TTGGGAGCATTTGTTTTTAGGACTTTAAACCACTGGGCATGGATTCGGGTGAGGTAATGAATTTTGGCCTGTTACTCTGTTTTTCCCTGTTACTCTGTTTTGTAAATCCCATTATTGTTATTCTCTGAACCTGAGGAATCTTGCAATTGTATGCAGGTGAAGAATTCAGACAGTGACCAATAAACTATTTTGACAGTGTCCTTGACCAGTTTTAATGCCCCCTGCTGCCCTGTATCAAAACCAAAAATTACATAAAAGAAAATACTCCTTGACATTGGTTTCTTAGATGTCTTTGGGGACTCAACTACAACAGCAAGTGAAACAAAAGCAAAAATAAACAAATGGGACTACATCAAACCGAAAAGCTTCTGCACAGAGAAAGAGGCTATTATTAAAACAAAAAGACAGGCTACAAATAGGAGATATATTATCACAAAATAAATGCAATAAGGTGCTACTATCCAAGACCTACAAAGAAAGCATAAAACTCAAAAAACAAGAAAGAAATCATACAACTCAACACAAAGAAAGCAAACCAACCAAAAGATGGGCACAGAATACGAAGTCACTTTTCAAAGAAGACATACAAATGGCCACAGGCACATTAAAACATGTTCATTTTCACTTATTGTCAGGGAAAAGATTTCACAATGAGATAGCACCTCCTGCATGCGAGAGTGGCCCATATAAAAAAAGATAAGAAACAACAAGTATGGGTGACTGTCACGCCACCAAGGTACAGAGCAGCTTTTCTATGTACCCAGGCAGACTAAATAATGAGCTGATTGAACAGCATTGGTTCATTTATCTCACACCTGATTTGCCCATTCTATGATCCAGGCACCAAATACAAAAGTTAAAACTTGGTGCCTGTGCAGACCTGGCCTGCTCTGACCTCAGGGCAGGCTCCTAGGCTGTTGAGCTCTGAAGATCCACAGGCAGAGTCAGCCTAAGTGGAGCCAGAGGCACTCTGCACCCAGTAGGGGGAGGGTTGCTGCAGCAGTAATGCAGGGAAGTCTCCCTGGGAACTCACCATGTTGGCATGGGAATTCAAGGGCCTCTCTATTGCTTGAAGTTGCCCCTGTGGGGCCCCATGCTCCTCCCTTCAGCCCTGAACCAGGGGCTGAAGGGTAACTATTGCCTTATATTCCAGAGCTTGCTCTGGCACAGGACAAACTCGCCTCTGGAGCCTGAGTGGGTCTGCATGCCCTGGGGGGAGTGTGGTAGGAAAACACTACCAGGTACCATCACTGTCAGCTTCTGCCAACAGTCTGAGCCTCAGTGAGACCACTGGTGGAAGGTGGTAAAATGCCTGCCACCTACTGCCACTTGCACTGCCTTCAAGCAGCTTCTGGGGCAGATGCCAGAGCCCCGGGGCTGGGGAGGTGCTCCAGTGGCTCAAACTTGGCTAGCACTGGGCTGGCTGTCAAGCCTGGCCCTCTGTGGAGGTCCTCCATAGAGCTGTCCTGGAGCTTGCAAAATGGTGTAGGTGTTGCCCAGAGGCAGTGCTCTGAACAGCAAGACAGGAATCTTCTGCTCTGTCTTGGGAACCTTAGAGGCTCCGCATTGAAACTCAGTTGGCACTCAGGGAGGAAAGGCCCACAGGCAGAAACTCAGCACATCATCACTTCTCCAGTGGCTCCTGCCACTTCGGCATTGGCAGAAAAGAGCCATTCTTGCCCCACAATGTTTGCTATGGGGCTCTAGTTTCAGCTTCAGGAATGCTTCATTGAGGCCCTCCTCAGTGGGCGGGGATTGATAACTAGTCAGGAGCCAGCTGGGTTTGAGCACCCGGAGGCACCCATATACGTACACTCTAGCTCCTACTGCCTGCCACAGGAGCATGTGGCTTGTAGGCAGTGCAAGCCATAGTAGCAGTGGGTGACAGATAAATTACTGCCCACCACCAGTGCCCCCATTACGCCAGACCAAGCACTGCAGTCCCTGGTTCAGGGTTATGGGGGAAGAGCATGGTGCCAAATGTGCCAGCTCCAGTTCTGTGGCTCCCTAGAGCCACAAGCAGTAGAGGCCCATGGAGGGCCAACACAGTAGGCTTCTGCTGGAGCCCACCCTGCAGCAGCTGGGACCGATCATATAGTGCTGCTGCAGGTTCCCCTATCACCTTTTGTTGCATTATAACACCTGGCTCCTGTGAAGAAGTGCAGTATTCCTCTAGCCCCACTGAGGCAAGTTCCAGTCAACAACACTGCCCTGACCTCAGGCTGGCCAGGTCTGTGCAAGCACTGAGTCTTCCCCTTGATATTTGGCATCTGAATCGTAAAATGGAGCAATGAGGTGTGTGCTATAGGAACCCATCAGATTCAAGCCCAGTTCATTATTTAATTATTCAGAGTGAAAATAGGAAATGAGGTGATTGGTCCAAAATTGTTTAATGAGTCACTTAGGTTTGAAAATGGTCTAATCAGGTTTGTAGGGTGGGGGGCCCTCAAAAAGGATATAAGGCAGGGAAGGAGCCAGTCTAAAGCATTCTGTCCCTGGCCTCCAAAGAAAGAAAAAGGATCAGCAGCCAACCTCTGAAGAAGACAAGTATCTGGCTTCCCATCCCCAAAGACCTCCACAGAGACCCAGCCACAGTACCTGCCTCTGGCCCTGCCTCTGAAATTGCAAGCAAGCAGCACCGCTGGCCTTGGTCTGGTGTTTCAAAGAGCTATAATGTTATTGGTGTGGGCCAACAACTCACTGTTAAATACTATGTGTTTCACACCAGTGTTTGGCATAACCTCTTGGTGAGCAGTGGTTACTGGCACTACTGGTAGTATTGTCCATCAATTCTGACAGGTGACCAGTACTCTGTGTAGGTCACTTCTGAGGCTGTCCACCATTTTTGAACATCTGGCACTGCCTTTCATTGCTGCTGCCTCCATTGCTGTCTGATCCAACATCCGGAGCTATCCAGCTAAGCCTTCAGATTGTTACCATGGGCTACTGTGGTGGTACCTCAGCAGCCCCACCTGTGAGCACCTCCATCGCCACCATAAGATGGATCCTGTCCCATTTCTTGGCAGTGTGCAACCATCTACAGGTCCTCATTGACAGGAGAGCACCTTCTTGCATCAGCAGCCTATTCCGGACTTCTGAACAGTATGGACACTATGGTTAGGTAGCCACCCACTTGACTTAGAAACTCCTTCCTTTTCCCCATCACTTGTTTGCTAAATAAACTCCAATGTTCTTATTCCCTGAACCTAAATGATCTCACAATTGAGCATGCAAGTGAGAACCCATAAACAATGACCCATGTCCTACCTTTTTTAAAAAAATTTGCTCTAAAATATTTTATTATTAGATCTTATTAAAAGGTTCATATAAAAAACAATAGAGGGGCCTCCCCTGGTGGCACAGCAGTTAAGCACTGTGCTGCAGATGCTGCCCGTAGCCTCTGCAGCACTGGTTTGATCCCGGCCGCCGCGGCAGTCCTCCCCTGCCAAGCCCACTGCTCCCCTCATCAGAGTACTTTGTCAGTCTGCCTGTTCTTCTCCCCACTCTGGCTCTGATGAATCCTCTCACCCTCCCGCGCTTCTGACTGTGACAAGTGCTTGTATAAATAAATAAATAGATAGTAATTACCTATATTTTCCATCTTTAAAAAAATTAAAAAATAATTAAAAAAAATAGAAAACAATATGTGTGACACAGAACACCACATGGAAAGGGTTCTGATGGTTGTGGCTTCTAATTTCTCTACAAAATTAACCAGCCACTATGGAGGGGAGAGAGTTAAAAAATATCACTTCAGAGAACAAAGAGAATGTGCTAATTTTTAAGTGCAAAAAAGCTCATAATAAAATAGACTTTAAAAATTACAAATAAAAATCTACAAATCAAGGATATTTTTAAGGCCTTTCCATGGACATAGCACTTTATAGAAACAGGAGACCAACCACCGAGAGGAAGAACCCGTTATAGCTCTGCTTCAGCACTGTTTCAATACATACAGATGTTGTCTTTTAATAACACATACCTGAAAACCATGTAATCCATTATGCAATATATTATGTAATATATTATACAGCACTGTGTAATATATTATGTTTCTTCCATTAAAAAATAAAAATAGCAGTATAGTAAAGGAATTCAAAAGTTCCTTGTTATTTTGGTTTTATGATTTGTTCCTGTGCTTGTCATCAATTTTACCTTTTGTTTTGTTTTGGGAAGAAGGTCAAGCCTGTGATAACAGAAGAGATAGGTAATAGGTGGAAGAAAAATGGAGTAGAGGAAGACAGGGAGTATTTTCATTAAGTCTCTATAAGATTTAGCAGAAATTGTCAGAATACTAATCAAACAGAACAAAGCTATTTGATTTTGCACTCTTGGAATTTATGAAAAATAGGTAGCCTTATAAAAGATGGAAGAATCAAGGCACAGAGATCTAGCCAGTCTTGTACATGTGCCTTTTGTACGTATCTAACCCAGCACCTTGCATGCATACAGAAAAGCACTCTTAAGTCAGATACTGACTGCCACAGAATTCAGCTCAAGGTCACTATTTAAAGGATTAAGAAATAATAATAACATAAGAAAGAACCACTAAATCTCAATTGTATTTTGAAGTCAAATAAACTCATTATCCAGAATCATCAAATACACAACCTGTTTTTCTGATTTTTATCCCCAGCCAAGCACAGTATATGAGCTATTAAAGGATTCTGATCATGTGAAGGCTCTGTTGACAATCTCCACCAAATGGTAAGAGTTAGACAAAAGCTGTTAGGAAGCAGAAGGCAGGTCTGAGTGGCAGCCATCTGAACAATGCAGAATATAAAATGTAGATGCTCTCCCAACTTCCATTTTCAGCAGGAGACTGTGAAATAGTAATTACCTATATTTTCCATTGAAAAGGAATAAAACTCAACTTGACAAGTACATTTTAAAAGCACTCAAAAGGAGCAATAAGGTATAAATTTTCTATGAAAATCACAGACCCTCATTAGTCATCTGACAACAAGTGAAAGGAAAATGAGTAGACAGAGACCACCCACCTCATCTCGGTACCTTGCTGCATTCAGTTCAACTAAGTCTTCACGGTAGTTCACAGAGAAGTTCAGCGCGTTCACCAGATGGGCAGCCACGTGCACACCTACAGAATTGCACCAGTTCAAATCAATGGGACTTTCTGGAACACTTGATGGAGAGGCGTTAGTTCCTCTACCTAGGTAAACCCAGGGTCAAACTTTGACAGTTATATGAACAATGAAATATTAAATTCCAAAATATTAAATTACCTGCTGTTTACAGACAGCAGGTAAAGAAACTGAATTGTCAAAGGCTGTTATAAAGTAACTCTTGTAAGTCAGGGTTAGAAGCACACAACACACACCAAACACACACACAGATACGTGCACATAATTTGGGAATTTAAGGCCCTCTGAAAGTCTTCTAACCTGCTGAAATCTTCCACAATCCACAGATTGAAGTCATCATGCACTTAAACTAAAAGTTGTTAACAGCCACTTTTTGGGATAAAAGCTCAGGAAAATAATAATTACAATATAATAATCTATGTCAGTGGCACAGGGAATAGTCTTGCATGAACTCTGAGTTCAAACAAAAGAAAAGTATAAGAAAATTACTAGAGTGTTGTAGACAATTTCCTATTGGCATGGCCAGGGAAGAAGAAAATGAGCTTGAGTAGGGTACGGAAGGCAGGAGCAAATGGCCTTGTACACAGAACTTTTAATTCCCTCCCCCACACTCATTCTATTCTTGTAGGTGAAATGAGGATGGGATTAACACTACACTACAATATATTAAAAGAAGAAGAGATAATTAGTTAGAAAACCTGTTTTAGATTTGCCTATCACTGCCTCAGTAACTTCTCTGCAAAATGATGTTGACAGAAATAAGAGATTTTAATAAGATAACTGAGTCAAGACTGCTCAGTAAACCATTTTAGTTTACTCCAATATTCGGAATGTAGTAATTCAAAGAGGATATAGTTTGCAAACCAGAATATTTTACAGTTCCCTCAAACCTAGAATATAAGATATAGATAAGCCAAAAGTACTCACAGAGATCAATAATTGTAATAAACAGAATGATAAATAACCTAAAATTTATTTAAAGAATTTATAAGTCAGTGCCAGTAATCAATTCAGAGGGGTGTTTGGGATGAGCCTCAAGAAACATGAATAGGAAGCTGGCACCAACAATGAGAAGGTTCCAAAGAAGTAAAACAAAGGGTGTGTAGGTGAGACTTTATTCTGCACAGATAAAACAGTATTTAAGCAAAATTACCTGTTTTATAGCTTCATTATAACAGAAATCTATAAAAAATTATTTTAAATTAAAGGTTTTATGTTCGCTAAATACTGGATGGCTCAAAAATGCAAATGCTTCCTTAAAGGAAATGCTATTCTTTCTGAATTCTCCTGAACAAAGTCCTGGGTAACAGTTATTTGAGATACATACTTAAAGGATACATTCGCTTTCTTTTTTTTTTTTTTTAAAGATTTATTTAATTATTAATACAAGCACTGGGTACAGTCAGAAGCGTGGGAGGATGAGAGAATTTACCAGAGACAGAGCGGAGAGCAGAACAGGCAGACTGACGAAGTACACGGCTGAGGGGAGCAGCGGGCGCGCCACGTGGGACCCTCGCCCGGCGGCCAGGGATCGAACCGGCGCTGCAGAGGCTGTGGGCAGCTTCACAGCCCAGCGCTCAACTGCTGTGCCACTGGACAGGCCCCTACATTCACTTTCTGCAAAAGGCCTTTTAGTTCAAAAGAATTCAGGATTTCTAATGATAGGCATCAAGTAGGAAGCCATGCTAGGCATTTTATAAATATTTTCTCATTTAAATCTCATAACAGGGCCTCCCTGGTGGCACAGGTGGTTGAGAGGAGCGCTGTGCATCTGTCCGCAGCCTCTGCAGTGCCAGTTCGATCCTTGCCGGCCTCGGAGCAACCCACATGGTAAGCAGACCTCTCCTGCCATGCCTGATGCTCACCTCAGCAGTATATTTTGTCAGCTTGCCTGTTCTGTTCCCTGCTCTGTCTCTGGTGAATCCTCTCACCTTCCCGTGCATCAGGCCTGTACCCCAGCTCTTGCATAAATAAAAAATAAATAAATTAAAAAAATAAATCTCACAACAAAAGAATGAGGTAGGTAGAATAATCCCTGTTTAACAGCTAAGAAAACTAAGGTTAAGAAAAGTAAGCTAGCTAGGGTAAGATCACTTGTGTCAGATTGGAAACCACTGAACATGTGCTCATTCATGGCAACACCTTACATTATCTCAGTTGCTTGACTGTTCTCTAAACATACCAGATGATTTTTACATAACTACGGTTTACAACAAATCACGTTATAAACATGTGGTTTCCCCATCTGACTCCATCTTTGACCATTCACCTTTCCCCAGCTCTAATCCATCCCTAACCCTTCCAACAACATTGCTCTTAATCTCATCCTAAATTTTTATTCCATCCCAATCTGGAATCTTATTGGAGTCCTAATCCCATGCCATCTCACACTTCCATAGATGAAATGAGAACCACCAGTGGGAAGATGTTTCGGGATAAAAAGTGAAGATTTTTGTTCAACAATATTAGGCAATATTTTAAAGGCTGAAAGTTTGATTTCTTGGTAATCATTGTATAAAAACACTCCTGATTCAAAGTGGCCATCTATAAGTGACCAGACCAAGTGTCTCAAGTATCAAAATAGCTATGTCCTATAAAATGATAACCAGATGAAAATGTAGGTGCTATGCTACTGAGGTAATTAACCTCTGAGATTACAAATTATTATAATTAATTTTCTTTTAAGAACTTCACACACATATTGTCATTTTAGCTTTAACACTATGAAGTACGTGCTACTGTCAATCCATTTTAAATTGAAAGTTTACGCCACATGGTGACATAACAGTATAGGCAGAAGGACTATATAACCGATCTCCACATGTAATCACCACATGTACTACTTTCTGCTTCAAATATTTGAAGTGTCATATATTTGCTCAACATAAAAATTTATTTTGAAATGACTTAAAAACAAAATATTCAACACTTTATTAACTTGGAATTAAAGTATAATTGCCACAAATTTTAAATTTGCTCTTCTACTCAAATACTAATATCAAAGATACATTCATCAAATACAATTTGGGGTGAAATCATATTCTATGAATATATTTTGTCATTCAAATGTTCATGTATTTTAAACTTATATTATTGTCAATATTTTTGGAGCTTGAAAACAGTCTGTTTCTTCCAGTTGTTCTAAATGAAATTACTTACTTTTAGGAAATTATCAACATGAGCATGTACATTATATTGGGACATTATAATTATCTATATGTATTTTAATATATATAATGTATACAAAATGCATGGCACACCCAACTCTCTTTAAATATATGGAAAATTATAAAATATCAACATCACGACTTGGTTACACTAAATAGCATGCAAAAATAAAAATACTATTCATAAATTATACAATTCTAACATAATATTTAACATCTTTTGGCTTTCTCACCTGAAAAAATACAAATGGTAACACCACAAGTTATATGGAATGTTCTGCTTTTATCCAACAATCTTCTGGTTCTTCTGCTTGGAAGCTGAATAAAAATCATTTACTATGGTAAAAATTATGTAACAATGAAATATATGTACAAAGTTTTTCATAATTGTATTTCTTATAATATCAAAAAGTTTGGAATTATGGCAAGATAAATTATACAGAACATTCAAACTATAAAAGACAATGTGAAGAGACATTATTGATATGGAAAAATGTATAAATGATATTGTTCAGTGAAAACATTACCAAAAATTACTACACTAGGAGCCTATATTTTATATTGTTTTATAATAATTATATAATTATACTAATTATATAATTATACTATAATTTATTATTGTTTTTTATAATATCGTTTCAAATTAATGGCATTATAAGTTAACATATCTGTAGACATTTACTCCAAACTACAATCAGCAGTTGTTCTGGCAGAGTATTATTAGGGGGAACACTCACTTTGCATATTTCTGGACTGTTTGCATTTTAGCACATATAAATCCCCTTTGCAGCCAAAACATAAGATTGTTTTTAAATGAAGCAGTTTCATCCATGGTTGTAAAGTGCCCGCTTGATCTTAAGGAAAAATAAAATGTCAAGTACCTTTGAACACCTACATTTTACACTCGGGAACAATTATTTCAGACTTATTAAGTTCTGACAGATTTGGGTGGGCACATTTCATTTCCTGCCATTTAGCTTCCCTTTTTCACACTAAGCCAATGACCAGCCACAGGGATCAAAACCTAGCATTTAGCAATGGGGGGCAATCTGGAGATTTATTTCCAGAAATTACCACATTAAAAATAAAGAGTTTCCAAATATAATTATGTGAAAAGGTTAAAAAGTTTTACTGCAATAAATCTGCTCATGTGAACTTTTCAAAACATCAGAGAAACCTCATACTAACAACTACCAAAAAATCATTATCTGCCCAGCATTGTCACACTGTCTTTATGAAGAAATAACTACATGTACATGTTCACATCACATACATTATACATGAATATGATCAAAGACAAAAACAAGTTTCAGTTGAATCTTAACTGTCAAAGTACTTTTCTATTTACTTATCTTCTTTATTTTACAGCACTAAATATCACACGAAACACTGCTGATTTAATCAGGACATCTTTTTCAAGCCTATTACACAGCTCTAAACAGGTATGTATTTTTTTTTTTTTATAGAGGCATGTTTTTATTTATTTATTTATTTTATTTGTTTGTTTTGTTTATACATGCACTGGGTACAGTCAGAAGAGCGGGAGGGTGAGAGAATTCACCAGAGCCAGAGTGGGGAGCAGAGCAGACAGAAGGACTGAAGTACACTGCTGAGGGGAGCAGCGGGTGGCAGGAGAGGTCTGCGCACCATGTGGGATCCTCCTCCGGTGGCCGGGGAGCACCGGGGATCGAACCGGCGCCGCAGAGGCCGCGGGCAGCTTCGCAACCCAGCGCTCAACTGCTGCGCCACCGGGGAGGCCCTAAACAGGTATGTATTTTAAGAGATAAATTGCCACCAATGACCGGAGTCATTCTATGAGGTCTTCAAAGACAATAAACAGGGCTCTATTTTGCTCGCCAGGATTTAAGATAAAAAAAAAAAAAAAAAAAAAAAAAAAAAAGGATCTCAATGAAGCACGGATTAGTGGAAAGAGTTGAAGCAGAACAGATCTTAGCTCTGCTATTTATTGGTCTCATGCTCACGGTCAAGTTATTTAAACTTCCTCTCCATGCCTCAGGATCCTGATCTACAGGCCTGACTACAGAATCACTTTGAGGATTCATAATTATATAAGTTGAGTGTTTGATCCAGTACCTGATGCCACGATTAATAATTATTTCTATTCCCTTCTTTCCTTCTCTAGTGTTGCAGCCGAATTCATTGATCATCTTGATAGATACCTTGGTCTTATTAATTTTGAAGAACTCACTCTAGCAGAAAGTCAGAACATGAAAACTAGGTAGGATGAACATATCACTATTATATCTCCTTTTTTGTGCAGGGATCTGTGACTGTGATTTTTTTTTTTTTTTCTTACCTTCTGGGATCCTCGAAGGTAAGCCAGAAGTGTTCGGCACATGGGTAAAAGGATAAGGCTGCAGTTGAGATTAAGAACAGACGCGGATGCTCTGCTTAGGCATAATCCTAGCTGAACAAATAAGGCAAGAGTCAAAATACAGTCAAGGACAAAAGAAAAAACCTGCTGACTCACCTTGCTCGGCCTGCAAAGATGATGGAAAATGCTAAACTCCTTTGATAGTTTCAAACAATCCTCCACGTTCCTCTCAACAAACCCCTAAAAGACGCTGGTCTCTTTCTGCTCTACAATCACATACAATCTACATGCCTCTCATTTTAAGTCAGGTTATAATCATCTGACTAAATTCTTCCAGCATGAGATCAATTTTGTGTTGTGCCCTACTATATTACGGTGGGTGTACAAGCCCTTGAGAGCCTCAATATATTCTGTGTCTCCGCACTGGTGATGATGACTCCTCTGTTTACTAATAAAGCACTGATAATTTCAAATCAAGTATTTGAAATACTCACTCTCTCTCTCTCTCTCTGGAACACTCTGAGCACAAACCCTTCTACACCACTGTCTGAATCTAAGCTCTTTATCTTGATGACTAATCATCCTTCAGATTTCATGTTAAGCACTATTGTAGATTTCTTCTCTGCCCAGAAACTTGGATAAATCCCCTATCAGCTGTGCCTCATTACAAAATTAATCATAAGCACATTGTGCAGCCTATTTTTCAAAGGATCAGTTCCCTTCAGTACTGATGCAATATTTTTTTGGAAATTAATTTTAAACCCAACTCTTGCTGGATTGTCTGCTATTGTTTAGTAATATCCACATTCATCATATGAATGGTGTACATGAAAAAAACTACAGCCAGGGTCATAAATGTGCACTTGTCCTGAAATAAATATAAAATTGCCGTATTTTAACAATATTGACTAAGAAATATGTGTAAGTGATTTATTTTCCTCATCCTGAACTTGGCCATCCTGAATAACAGAGTAATTTTTGACAAAATAGCAACTGTGTTACAGTGTTTATTGTTAGCACATGAAATATTATTCCTGAAAGGGAGACAGGATAATAAGAAATGTGAGGAAAGTAATAATTTTCATTGACCAATGAAATATAATTAATATTTATATTTAGGCTATTTCTATACTGTGAGTTAGAAGACCTTAAGGATACAGTTCAATGAGAAGAACAGCAAGCAGAGTAATAGTAATAATCCACTCTGGACTAAAAAATTTAAATACAATTTTCTCATCTCAATCATTGAAATTATCATGAGTGTGATAAGTTTCATTTCCAGAGAAATAAAGTAATTGTTCTCTCTTTTGACCTGACATCTATATGCAATAAGAAAAATTTAGCTCAGGGAACTTTAGATAATTTAATCTGCAATTTTAAGGTGCCAGAACAATAATTTATTTAAAATATATCAACTAAAATCTATCATATAAGTTCAGGAAAGAGATAAATTATCCAAATTTCCATTTTGGTTCAATGTTTTTATTTTTTTTTAATTTAAATTTTATTTTTATATTCCCCATACAATTATAACCCCCTTATTTTTACCCATCCCTCCTTTCCCCACCCCCCACCCCCATAGAGTATTTCCTCCTTTCCCCACCCCCATAGAGTATCTCTTGTTCATAGTTGTTTGTTGATTTTGATATTTTCTTTCTTATAGTTATTCTTTTTCCTGGTCCTTTATTTAAGTTTTCTAGATTCCTGCTATGCGTGAGACCATCTGGTATTTCTCTTTATCTTTCTGGCTTATTTCGCTGAGCATGATCCCTTCCAGCTCCATCCATGTTGCTGAAAATCACATGTGTTTATCTTTTTTGAATACTGAGTAATATTCTATGGTGTATATGTACCACATCTTCTTTTGGGCATTTGGGTTGTTTCCAAAGCTTAGCTATTGTAAATAGTGCTGCTATAAACATCGATCCCAAAGAGCACCTGCACCCCAATGTTTGGTTCAATGCTTTTAAAAAAATATTACACGGTGCTTATTCACTTTTCTAACCCTTTATTGCCTGTCTGGATATTTTATTATTATATTTACATTAAATCACACAGTAATTTAATTCAAAGTGTCTCTAAGTGTACTCTTGGGATAGATGGAGTTTACTTTGGCATTCCACTTCTTCCTTATGATGCTGCATAACCTAACCAGAAATTTTAGTTAGGGTTTATTTCTTCATATATGTTTGTTTCTGACTATACTTAATTCTTTAGACTGAAACAAAAATGCATGTTTATAATAAATAGGGTACAAAACTCCCTCATTTAGAAGCAGTAGAGAAAGTTAGGAAATATAAAATAAGTCCAGTCTATGTCATAATCATACAAAAGAAACCATTTTTTAAAGATTTATTTATTTATACAAGAACTGGGGTACAGGCCAGATATGCGGAAGGGTGAGAGGATTCACCAGAGACAGTGCGGAGAACAGAACAGGCAGATTGAATGAAATGCACTGCTGAGGGGAGCAGCAGAGAGACAGGAGAGGTCTGCTGCACCATGTGGGCAGCAACCTGGCCGGCTGGGATCTAACCAGCGCTATAGAGGCTGTGGATTGCTTCACAGCGTGGCCTACGCCACCAGGGGAGGCCCCCAAAGAAACCATTTCATCTATTAATTACTTCTATACTATTCTACAGCTAAGAATAATTCAGGCAAGGGCCTCCCCGGCGGTGCAGCGGTTGAGCGCTGGGTTGCAAAGCTGCCCGCAGCCTGTGCAGTACCGGTTCAATCCCCGGCCGCCGGCAAGGGTCGAGCATGACGCGCAGATCTCTCCTGCTACCCGCTGCTCCCCTCAGCAGTGTACTTTGTCAGTCTGCCTGTTCTGTTCCCCACTCTGGCTCTGGTGAATTCTCTCACCCTCCTGCGCTTCTGACTCTACCCAGTGCTTGTATAAATAAATAAATAAATCTTAAAAAAAAAAGGAATAATTCAGGCATTATGAATTAGCAACAGTGATAAGAATGAGCTAACTCAAATGTTCACAAAAGAAATTGACCCACTCTGTGAGTGACTTATTTTACTATTCCTAGAGAGCTTAAACTGCTGCTCTAGTTTTCAAATTACATTTAGGTTGTCACTAGATAGCATTATTACTTTCACATTTAAAGTCCTACCTGTCAAGGTCTCTAAAATATAATTAACTGAATTCTACATACAAATTTATAAAACTGAATTTATTTTTGGTGAGTAGGTATAAACCAAAGCAAAACAAAACGACAAGAACAACAACAAAAAAAATAGCTTAGTCCTTTCTATGTAACATCTGTGCCCTCTCCACCAAATCCATGTGTTGAAGAAGTAATCCACCATGTGATGGTAGAGTCTTTGAAAGGCAATTAGATTTAGATAATGGTCATGAAAGTAGAGCATATATGAAGGGGTGAACACCCTTTGAAAAAGAGAAAAATATTAGATCTGTTGCTCTACTCCATCTGAAGATACAGCAAGGTGGGTATATGTAAACCAGGCAGAGTCCTCTTCACACATACTCTTTGCTGGCATCTTGATCTTGGCCTTCCCAGCCCCCAGGACTATAGGTGCCATGGTGGTGGGCATGACGTGAGAAACATACACCTTCAAAGTGTGATCCTATTCCTTTAAATGATATACAGTGTTGTAAACCAATGTTACCTCAATTGAAAAAAAAAAATAGATAAAAAAAAAACCTGTAAGAAGAGATGTTTGTTCTTTAAGCTAGTCAATAACATTTTTGCACAGCAGTTTGGACTAAGCAAGTGCTATAAAAATTATCAGTAAATATTCCATTTCAAGAATATTATAATCATAATACTTAGGTAGAACAACTACATAGTTTATTTCTTAAAGTCGCAAAGACATGGCTTCTTATCTTAGTTCATATACTTAGTAACTCTTAGTCTTGAGCTAGTGGGGCCTCCCTGGTGGCACAAGGGGTTAAGACACAACTTATGAAGCTGTCCTCAGCCACTGCAGCACAAGTTCAATCCCCCACCAGGGAGCTACCCACATGGTGCAGCAAACCTCTCCTGACTCACCCACTGCTCCCCTCAGCAGTGTACTTCAGTCAGTCCTCCTGTTCTGTCCCCAATGTCTTTGGTGAATCCTCTCACCCCCCACACCTCTGGCCTATACCCCAGTTTCTTGTATGTTTAAATAAACAAATCTTTAAAAAAAATCTTGAGCTAGTTAACTGTACTTATCTATAAAGTTGGGGGGAATAAAATGTCTTTACCTATAAAATTATTATATTAATATAATTAATACAATACAATCTAATGCAATACAATGCAATAATCCTACATCTTAGAACATATGTAAAAAGTAAAACCAGACTAACAGTTGCAAGCATTATATAAAATTAACTTACTTACTGTTCTAGATTCACTGAATCATAGCCTTTCTCTAAATAATATTCCTGCATACCCAGTGTTATCTGTTCCAATTACATTATTCATTCAACACATATTTATTGTGATATATACATTGTACAAGAAAACAGAACTAAAAATAGAAAAAAATGTCCTTCCCTTATATATTTACATTTCAGTAAGGAAAAGATACTAATCAAACAGCAACATAATCAAATGTAAATAACAACAGTGATCAATACTCTAAGAAATACAGAGTATGAGCATATGCAATAGGAAATGAGATCTAAACAGGAAGGTGTTTTTTTTTTTCTTTTTTGAAAAGTGAGCTGTGACCCCGAGGTGAAAGTTGATGCCATTCAGGAATGAAAAGGGCATCCATGCAGAAAAACCAGCATGAGAACTGATGTGTGGCAAACGGGTACATGCTGTATAGATGAGAAATGAACAGGAAGCCACTGTGTTTGTAAATGGTGTGTTATATAACATAAAACTGGAGAAATTGGTAGGGGTAGACTTTGCTGGACCTCATAGGTCACATTAAGGATGTTTGCCTTTATCCTAATGTCAACGAGATTGACTATGTTTAAAGCAGGGAGATGTGATGAAGAGATTAGTGTTTGGTAATGATTACTCTGTATGAAGCCTGGAGAGCAAATTGAAAGAAAGCAATTTTGCAACTATATTACCTTGCATAGTTAATAATCACAAAAACAAAAATGTTTTCAACAAAGACTATGTTTTATGCTATTACACTTTAGTCCAACATACAGAAAGGACTTGGTTTTTACTAAATATTTAGGTTATAATGAAATTTATATTCTAAGATATACACTTCTAGGGCCTCCCTGGTGGTCTAGGGGGTTAAGTCTCTGCACTATTACCCTTATGGCCTGAGTTCCATCCCTGGTCAGGGAGCTACCCACATATGGCACAGCAGGACTCTGCTGTCTCACCCGCTGTTCTCCTCAGCAGTATATTTCACTAGATCTGCTTGTTCTGCTCGCTAATCTGTCTCTGGTGAATCCTCTTACCCCCCACACCTCTGGGCTACACTCCAGTTCTTCTGCATGCAAAAAGAAAATTCTAAAAATTCTAAAATTAGAGAACTAGAAGGACCTACTCATAACTCACAATCTACCCAGTCTAACCCATTTTGTTGCAGCCTCAACCAAAGTAATCTACCTGCAATTGATTTTTCCAGACAAAGCAATCTGTTAAAGAGTCAAACAGAACTATTTTTTCCTTACAATTAGATTAAATTTGTATCTATAAATTCTATCCACCAGACTACTTTGAATGAGAATTTTCCTAAAGCATATATTAAAAAACCAAAGATAAAAGTGGTATGATTTCCTAGTCCAATTTG